GTGCTGCTGGGTTGGTCCAGTAGCACCGAGGAGCGGCGCTACTGGAGCAACCCAACAGCACCCCAGCTGCTCTGCCCTAGGCGTCCCCAAGTCAGCTTCTGAAACTGACCAGCGCTGACTACAGGAAGCCCGAAGCAGAGTTGCTCTGCCCCGGGCTTCCTGGAATCAGCCGCTGATCAGTTTCAGCAGCAGCTGACTTGGGGATACCTGGGGTTCTTAAGTTGAATCTGTATGTAAGTCGGAACTGGCGTCCAGATTCAGCCTGTTGAAACTGATCAGAGGCTGAGTCCAGGAAGCCCGGAGCAGAGCAACTCTGCCTCGAGCTTCCTGTAGTCAGCCGTTTGTCAGTTTCAGCAGCGGCTGAATCTGGACGCCAGTTCCGACTTACATACAGATTCAATTTAAGAATAAACCCACAGTCCCTATCTTGTACGTAACCCGGGGACTGCCTGTATGTCATTTGGAAGCTTTGTGCTGTTAAGATTAATTTTTCAAATAAAACAAACAATACATGTCCTGCCCTCTTGTAATCATTAAATGGTGTTATACATATATTCAAGAGTAAGGGTGATGATTCACATGTTACATTAAGATTTCAAAATATTTTGCAGTGTTTGATGTTAAAACGTTACAGTATGTCAATGCAGTGGTGGCTGCTAAGATTACTGTTAAGTTTCTGATGAGTGCTTTGAGACCCTTCTAGCTAAAAGAACCAAAACATATATTAATGCAAGCAATTATTATTAGACTAAGTGGTAGTGCTTTAGGGAGGTTGTTCAGTTGTGGCAACTTTGGCCTATAAAGTTACAGATGAGTATTTCTGAGCATTATTACTGAACAATTTAGCCCTACTAATGCTCTTCTGATTTGTGGGGGGCAGAGTTCACATTGGTACTTATGAACACTACAAGTAACTGTAAGCTGGTTGTCCTAATCAACAGCATCCCCTTTGGTCAGAAGGAGTATTTCAGTCTTACCTTGATCTGGGAAGGCATCAAGTCACATCAAGTTAATTGAGTCTCTGTGCCAGTTCCATTCTGCTATAAAGGGTGTTAGTTTCAGTCCTGCTGGGGTATATGGCTTTCCCCTTTACCTGGTAGGGTCAGTTGATCCTGGTCCTCAGGGGGTCTGAAAAATACCTTGTTCTTAAGTCTCTGTTATGGGATTGGTAGGGAAACTCAGGCTCACCCACTCCACTGGGTTCCAGCTCTAGACCCTTAAACCAGGCTAGCCAAATCAGGTTTGAACCAGGTTCTCTTGTCTGGCAACATCAATGGTTCAGCATGTTTGTGTTCTCCAAGGTTGGACCATTCATGGGGAAAAGGTAGGGCCCCGCATTCATCAACTCCTTCTCTGCCTTCCCAGAGTGTCACAAATTCCTACTTTGCAACATCCAAGCTCAGGCAGGGGGAGGATCAGGAACAGTGGGCACAGCCTGATGACCATAGGGTTCTTCTGGCCCCTGGCTGCAGAATGCCCAGATTCTTCCCCCAAGTCCCCACCCCCAAACCCTATGCCTGCCCTGTCAGCTATACTGGAAACTGAGCACAGCTAGATGGCACTCCCTCCTGCCCACTGTGGGGGCTGTCCAGGTCCCACTGTGCCCCTCTTACATTCTTTCATGCCCCTCTAAGGAGGTATATGTCACAGTTTTGGGATGACTGCTGTAAATCCCTTCTCTGGACTGTTGTGTATGGGTAGCTTCTCACCATCTTGCTAGCAGGACTTTCATTCTCCGGCTTGTTTGTTCCTTTCGTAGCCGTCCTGTCTCCTGCTTCATAGTTTTATTTTTCTAGCTGCTGTGAGGCTGCCGGTCAGTGCTGGTTGGTGGTTAATGAGTATGTTATAAAATTGTATGTTTAGAAGTCTCCCATGTAAAGATACAGAGAAAATTGTTCACTTTTAATTCTCCAATTAAAAGTGAATTAACTTTTAATTAACAATCAGAGGAAGTTGAAAAAAGAGTCTTGTTAAGAGGACAGAAAACGTGTAGTGTGACCATTTGAGGAGAATGATTATGAGCATAAGTATGACAAGCTTGGTAAAGAAAGGTCTTTAGAATTATGTGGAATGCTGTGGGTGGAAGGTTGCAAAAAAGGCATTAGGAAAAAAACCCTCTGCTTTGTGACTTTGTGGGAGGCTCTTCTGAAACAGGCCTAAGTGCAATGTTACCACGGCTGCGTCGGATTTTCTCTGCTCAGTTTCCAGTATAGCTTTAGCCCAATCACTGCTTTGCTCTGCACCGCCTCCAGCCGCAGTTCCAATCCCAGCCCTGCCCTCATTCCCTCTCCAACCCTAGGCCAGCTCTGCCTTTAGCCCTAGCTCCTTCCACATGTGCAATTCAGCCCTCAGCTTGCCTTCAGCTCAAAATTCTCTGCTGAGCCAGCTGTTCAGTAATGGACGAAGGCCCAGACAGATTTAATTACTGGTACAAGTTGGATTTTCTGTGGATAGGATGTAGTACCGTATATTGAAGAGACATACAATAATTAGTGCAGAGGGTATCAAACTGTCTATGTAGTTGCTTTTTTAGCACTGGTGAAAAAGCTGTCATTTTATGAGATAGTTGTGGTCCATGCTAGTTTTCTGAGGCTTTCTTGAACAATTAAATTAAAAACAAACTCCTTTCTTTATATCGCTGCTTCATATTTGCCTATGCCAGATATTTTTTACTTTGGGTGCAAATACAAACCCACAGTATACACAAACTAATCAAATTTTGACTGATAATGCCAAAATTGGTTGAATATCAGATACAAGAGAAGAGAACCATCCTGCAAAAGAATCAGAGATTAGAGCTAAGGATGTACCTGTGTGGGGGGTGAGTCTCAAGCCCTTGGCCTCTGGCTGTGGAGGAAGGTACCTTATCCACTGTGCCACTGAAGGAGCCTCCAGCTTCTCTGTATTCTGGGCCCCTCTTAATCTGTCCTATGTCCCAAGGGTGCCAGGTGTGTCCTAAGGATGTAAAGGACTAGTCACTCCCCTCCCCTTGCTGCCTCTATCATATAGAGGCAGCAAGGGTGGAGAAGAGGGGAGCTGACTCCAGAGTCCCCAGCTGACCCCTGGCTCCCTGCTGCATTCCAGATTTGAAATGTACAGGAGTCCCTAGCAGGGACTGTGGTACATTTCAAAGAGGGAGTGCAGCCTGGAGTCTGGGACCAATGTGGGACGCTGAGCCCACCTGGGCTCTTGTGCATTTCGAAGTGGAAGTGCCCACATGGAGCCCGGAGTCAGTGGGAATTCCCTGTGGTCCTGGGCTCCACGTGGCATTCCAACTGTGAAATGCACAAGAACCCCCGTTGGGGCTCTTGTATATTTCAAAGGTAGAACGCAGAAGTGCCTATCGACTAGTTAAGTAGTTGATGGAAATTGCATCGACTACTCGACTAGTAAATTAATTGCTATTTAACATCCCTAATACAAACACAATAATGGTTGACAATTGGGGATATAACCAAGGAGATACTCTTGCTATATGAAATGAGCGCTCTTTAATCTTGTCTATTTAATAGTCTTCTAATTTTAGTTTTTCATGTAGCTATAGTTGCTACAGAGAAGCGTGTAGGATCAAGATTGGGAGGAGAAATGTGCATAAGAGTATATTCTATTAAGAATTGTCTTCAGTAGAAAAAAATATTGAGAAGTATAGCTCTAATGGGCATAGAATCTTAGAAGACCTAAGATGATGATGGTTGGGTACACTGAAGGCTTACCGGCTGCACAGTGCACTGCCATTTAGGAGCTGGGAATTTGGGTCCCAAACTTATTCACAAATGTGATACACAACAAGAATTTGGAATCTGCTTGTGTGTTGCTCTCCTGTAACTGCTTTTGGCTGATTTGGAGCAGAATTGTTAATTTTGGAAGTACCTTAAATCATCTACTGCTGTGTTTTATACATTTAATACAAGTTATCA